ATAAATTTGAGCTGTTGAAATTTTGGATAATTTTTAAAATTTTATATCTGAATCCGAAACATTATTGATTTGTTAGTGATATATTTTTAAAACCTTCGGATAGAATTCTTTCTGATGTCATGCACAGACGGGGGGAATTCCTTGGCCTTTCCCTTGATGGGACATGCTGTCTGTTTTTTGTTCTTTTATGTCCTATCTTTGGCTTGATCAACGCCTGACCCGTCGTAAACCTGTTTTTTAAAGGAGTAACGTTGGGTGGTTCGAAAAGGCGATTGACTTAAATAATTTGAATTTTATCTTGGTGGACGGGACAAAGATTGATGGTTGTAATTGATAAAAGTGACAATTGTAGTAGATAAGTTTTTATTTGATTGTTTGGATGGACTTCTAATCAGTCATCCGCAATCAACATCTATCCGGGTCATTTGAGCAACTCTTTTTCAGATCACCAAGCATTTTGCTTTGTAAAAATACCCGCTATCGAAAGCCCGTTCACAATCTGGGATGGGTCTGGTTCGATTAGCCTCAATTCTAAATTTAGCTTAGTTTGAAATTCTGGACTTGGGCTATCATTTTGAAGTTTAGTCCGGTCCGTGACCTAGTCCACTGGTCAGCTCATGGCCCGCTCAAAATCTGGCCTAAGGCCCCGTCCGCTCGAGACCTAATGTCATTTTTGAAAGAAAAGAAGAAAATTTTAGCTAAAAAATAAAAATAAATAAATAAAAAATGTTCAAGCCCAGTCTAAGGAGTGTCTTGAAAAGTTAGTAAAAGACTTTTTAGCTTTTTTAATCTATTTTGTCTTTTTGTGAATAAAAAATGTAAAAAGTGATGTGATTCAAAATGGATAAAAAACTAAAAGTTAACTTTTTACCCTCTTTCCAAAAAAACCCCTAAAACCCTAGCCCAGGTCCAAGTCCAGACCCGCCGATCCGACCTAAGGCCCAACCTGTCCAAAGGCCGAATATCTCTTGGGTCTAGGCTTGATTTTCTGGCCCGTGGGCTGGCCCAACCCAACCCAAGTTTTGACGGGAACCCATGCGGCCCGATATGGGCCTGCCCAAGCCCGAACTTGGGTAGACCAGACCGAATCAAATTTACATCCATAGGCTGCTTAACATTATGGATTTTATCTCAGCCCTTACATTAATTAATAGGATAAAATACAACTATATCACCTAAGGTTTGCTTAAAGTACAGATTGTCCCATATAGTTTGAAAAACTGTAAATACCTCATTGTTAGAATTTTTTATTTAACAAAATTAATTAAAAAAATAAAATTCATAATTGCTCTCTTATACAATAATAAAATTATCTAAATTATTAATTGAAATATATTTCTAACATCATTAAAAATTGTTAATTGACTTGATGATTTATTAATAGAATGGACGATTTGTTATGAAATTAGAAATCTCAAGGGGTGGAATGTAATTTCCAAAACCACAGGTGGCGATTCGTATTTTTATCAAATCTCATGTGTATATTTATAATGTAGCGTATTTAATATTACAAAAACTCATATTTTTTTTCTTTTTCTATAATAAGATTTTTTGTTTTGTTTTTATTATTATTATTCTTATTATTTTTTAAAATAGGTGCGTGCATACTATAGTCTTCTCCTATCCTTGTTACAATGCTTTTATATGATTATAAGTATTTTTTGGTTTTTAACTATGATTTGCATTATTTACTACTACATTGAATCTTTTATTTTATTTTTTTATCAATTTTGTCTGAAATCTCACTGTAGCACCACGGTGCATTCACACCCTCACAAGTCCAGTGTGTCCCTGGAGTTGAGTGTTCAAAAACACAATCATTTTAAAATTAAGAATTCGCTTGCAAATTGTCTTTTTCAGTTATTTTTTGCTAAAATATGAGGTGAAAAAAAATATTTGAAATTTTTTTTTGACTTCTACCAAAAAAACAAAAAAGTGTAAAAAGTAGAAAGAATGATAAAGAATCCTCAATTTTTAATATATTTTTTTAGCTTTTAAACTTTTTAAATAATTTTTTAATTTTTGAATTAAATTAGTCTATGTCAAACGAAGCGTAAACCATCCTTAAACTACCCAATGAATATGTTTTAGACTCTTAACTATTATTGTAATATTACATAGGAGGCTTGTGATCAGATTTTACAGCTATATTGCCAACATGCTTGGAAAATTTGGACTGCTTGTGTTGTAGGCATAGTTCTAAAAATCGGTCGATACGCTATGTACCGGTCAATTTGTATCGGAAAAATAGAGTATCACGACAAATATAGACTGGTAGAGCGCTGAGATCAAAAATCACAGGAGAATCGGCCGAGTCCCGCTACGTAGCAGTCTATAACCATTACACAATTTGTTACACATCAACACTCACCGGTTCAAACTGGTACGTGGAAGAAAAACTGAAAAACCTGTGAAATGATTTTTAAAATTTCACCGTTGCGATACCCGATTCCCGAAACATACCAATCAATACTACCGATACCTTTACTCTGCGATCAATACCGTTACGTTATCCCATACCGCGATCTAGAACCATGCTCACCAAACACCACATCCAAACTAAGAGGTGAAATTAAATCACCAAACACCACACTCAAACTAAGAAGTGAAATTAAATTTACAAAGCTCCATCAAATAGAGCCCTGATTGTTTTGAACATTCGGGACGCGAAAAGATTCAGAAATCTGATAAGTATTGGTAGGATTGGAATGACTTCAACGTACCTCAGTCTCAACTCAACCAACTTCAAAACAAAAAACTGTAAAATATAGGGTACACGTATATATGATACATATTTCCCCTATGTACCATACATAGGAGATTATATATGTTTGTGTATACATATGAGATTATATCTGTGTGTGTCTGTGTGTAGAATTGATGAGAACAATAGAGAGCAGATGGAATATGTAAGTGAATGGCCGGCTGACCTTAGATGATTGGTTTCGCTAAAATATGAGGTGAGAAAAAAAATCTGGAATTTTTTTTTGACTTCTACCAAAAAAAAAAAAAAAAAAGTGTAAAAAGTTGAAAAAATGATAAAAAATCCTCAATTTTTAATATATTTTTTTAACTTTTAAATTTTTTTAATAATTTTTTAACTTTTGAATTAAATTAGTCTATGACAAACGAAGCGTAAATCACCTATAAACTACCCAATGAATATGTTTTAGACTCTTTAACAGTTTAACTATTATTGTAATATTACATAGGAGGCTGGTGATCAGATTTTACAGCTATATTGCCAACATGCTTGGAAAATTTGGACTGCTTGTGTTGTAGGCATAGTTCTAAAAATCGGTCGATACGCTATGTATCGGTCGATTTGTATCGGAAAAATAGAGTATCACAATGAATATAAGCTGGTATAGTGCTGAGATAAAAAATCGCAGGAGAATCGGCCGAGTTCCGCTACGTAGCAGTCTATGACCGTTACACAATCTGTTACACAAGCCGCGACGAGTCGATATTCACTAGTTTGGATCGGTCCGGGAAAGAAAAAGCTAAAAAACTTGTGAAATAATTTTTAAAATTTCACCACCGCGACACTCGATTTCCGATACGTACCAACCAATACTACCGATACTGATACCAATACTCCGCGATCGATACCGTTACGTTATCCGATACCACGATTTAGAACCATTGCTGAATGTAGTGATGCTGCTGGTGATATGGTTGGGAGTTACTTACCAAAAGCTGTTTTAAGCTCTGTGTTAGCTGGTATTGATGGACATTGCAACATTGAATCTCTAATGGTCCTATGTTATAATATTTTTTATATTTTTTGACGTTTGTTATAACAAAAAATGAAAGTCAATACTATCACATTCACGCTCTCCCAATGCCACCGTCACTTAACCCCAATACTGTCACCATTGTTGTTGTCACTACCACTCACACTATCACATCCTTACTAATACAACTATTAATACATTAATTTCAATGATGCAAGTGCAACCAAATATGAAAAAAAAACATTTTACTTTGGAAAACATTTTCCAGTGATGCTATTGCTAGTTAGGATATATTCTTTAAGTAATAATGCTCTTTGCCTGGACCTTATTTTGTTTTTCTTATTGATATAATTTAAATGTAGTCCTTATACTTTTAATTTGCATCAATAACTTTTTATTTTTGTAGATAAAAAGAGAAAACAAAATAAATAAAACAAATAAACCAAACACATAAAATATATTAATGGATAAGATTTTTCTAAAGTAGGTTTTACCAACAATATTAACGTATAATTTCTATATTCTTACTTATTAATAAGAACAATTTAGTAATTCTTACGCACCCAAATATTTTTTCTTAATTTTTTTTCTCCTCTTTTCTTGCCCTTTAACATGTGATGTGATTTGAATGTGATTGACTCCATGTTGATATTAAGGCAAAGTTTGGTAACCCATGAAAAATTTAGAAAGTCAAAAAATTATTTAAAAAAAAGTTAAAAAACTATTACAATTCATCAATTAAAAATATAAAAATATTAATTTACACAATATTATCATACAAAGACGTGACTAGTGGTACCCGTGGTGACAGTACACTTTATTGGGCTGTCGGGTAAAAAAAATTAGGTATGTCTATTCATTAAATTGAAGAATAATATTGGGCCAGTGGGGGCCATCACAGATCTCTTTTTGATAATCTGAACCGTTCAATATGTAGAACTCGTCGAGTACTATATGCTTATAAAAAATCACCTTAATCGGATATCGCTAACTATATGATCAAATTAGTTTTGTATAAAAAATGGATAGTATTATAATTAACGGTTGACAAAAAACTAACACGATCAGATAGCTATCGATATCCGATCACCATGATTTTTTATTTATGACACCCCAAACAATTCCTAAGTTATCATTAGTCCAAACTATACACAGTTGCCCCAGACGCATTTGGTTCAACAAATTAGTAGTAATTTTAAGTGCAATTAATGGATTATAGAGTATAGATTTAAAACCAATGAAACCAAGAAGAATAAGCAGATAGAAAATGAGTATTGAAGCTGCAACAAATAAATAAAAACACAAAAACAAAATCTACATTCACATCTCTCCTTCATTTTTCCATTATTCTCTAATATGATCGTCCCGTAAAGCAAGGAAAAAAGGGGATTGCTCTATGTACATGCATCTTTTCATATCTCTCTCTCTCTCTCTCTCTCAAACTAGCAATCTGCATTAAACAAAAATCCAATCAATAATTATGATATTAATTAACAAAAATTCATATAAAATGGGGAAAAATATTCAAATTAACCTCACATCATATATTTGTTACCTATTTCAAGAGATTTAGAGCTTTTCATCAATCGAATACGCTTGCATGATTCTTTGAACATCCTGTAGTGGAAAAAATTATGAAAATAAAAATATTTCATAGTCCTCATTTTCTGCAGAAAACAACTAACTCATTTAATTTTAGTAATAGATCATATCAATTTTTATGCAAATTATGTAAATGAGTGAAAGTTCGTTAGTCAAGTTGTTTTGTCATTTTTCTATTTTTCACCTTAGGCTAGGACTATAAATGATCCGAGAATTAGCCAAAAAGCCAACAACCCATACCAAAAAGTCAAAGATTCTCTTTTCTCTCTACTTTTTGCACATCTTTTCGTAATTAGCCAAAAAGTCATCCCAAACATACAAGTTTTTTGTACTTACCTTTTTAGCCAAATAGCCAAAAAGTTACTAAATTAGCCTGTTCCCAAACGAGGCCTTAATTTTAATAATAGATCATATCAATTTTTATGCAAATTATGTAAATGGGTGAAAGTTCGTTAGTCAAGTTGTTTTGTCATTTTTCTATTTTTCACCTTAGGCTAGGACTGTAAACGATCCGAGTCGAGCTGAGTTTTAGTATGTTTTGACTTATTTATTAAGATTTTAATGAAGTCGAACTTGAGCTCGAACTCAATAAAAAATTAACGAACCGAACTCAAGCCGATCTGGCTTAGACTTGATTCGAGCTCGGCCTGCTATTCACGACCCTTAACGAGCCAAAAAAATTATAAATTCATACTTGCATATAAGACTAAAGTTATAATTAAAATTTTGATTATACAATTATATACACAATATATATAAACATTCTAAAAAAAATTAATATTTTATCAAAATAATAATATCTACCACCACTATTATATAAATGTACTATAGTTAACTATTATTCGTATTTACATTTTTTAAATATATAAATAATATGTTTATCGTATTTTTTATACATATTTTTACATTAATTAATATATAAACAATAAATATTAAACGAGCTAGCTAATGAGCCAAATTTGAGAATGTTTGGACTTATTTATTAAAAATTTAATAAGCTCGAGCTCGAGCTTGACCTCAAACACGAAAAAAAAATTAGTGAATCGAGTTCGAACAAATTCTTACCAAGTCGAATTCGAGTCTGTTTATGAACAATTCTATTCATTTGCAGCCCTACCCTAGGCAGATATCTCAGTCTCTATTGTAAAAAGAAGTCTTGTGCATTGTGCGTGTACGATTTATTGAAAATAAAAGAGAAAAATGTTGTTGTTGTTGTTGTTGTTATTTATTTATTTTTTAAATCTAAAATTTATTGAAGATGATCAATTTAGGTAACTTACTTAAAAGGAACATCTCCAACTAACATCCAATCACCATCCTTGTCTTCGTACGTCGGCACATATTCAATTCCCCTCATCATATCCATAAGCTTTCTCTCGTCACCTGAACCACCATGTTGTCGTTGACAGATTAAATTAAATTCTAAAAATATAAAAATTAGACATAAAATAGGCCATAATAGATAAAATTTTAAAAGGTTAATTAGTGAAGTTCACTTTTTAAAAATTTTATCAATTTATTTATATTTTGTCTGATTGACTAATTTTGTGATTGTAGGCTAACAGAGACAATAGTAAAGAGATGCAATACAGTAATAATAGATAGAAGTGTTAAAAAAGAAGGGACAAACCTAAATTGACGTAAGCTAATATAATAAATAAATATATGAATCTCCTTATTTGACTAACGATATGACCTTAAATAGAATTGAATGGAGAAAAATTATTCATGTAGCCGATCTCATTTGATGGGCCTTAAGACTTGATTTGGTTTGATTTGATATTCTTTAGACTTTTTTTTTTAATCAACAAAAGAAACCTTTATTGATAAATAACGAATACAAAGTATAAGAACATTACATCTACATGGGGAGGAAATGGTGCAAAAACATCATCACAACACCACACCCAGGCTGGATAGTCTTCCAGGTTATTATATCTGAATTTGCTTTAGACTTTTTGTTAGACTAAATCACCCGCAATACGGCCTAGGGTATAAATGTCAAATACCCAACCAACTCAAATACCATATGTATTATACAAAAAATAAAATCGAGTGAGACAGTCATAATTATATAATAAAAAGTCATCTTGAAGAGTTGTTTATATAAAAATGGAAATGATAAGTCCACATTAAACCACAATAGTCTAGTTTGAAATTATGTATAATTTTATGTTCATATAGTATTAATCTTATAAAATATAATAAAATTTTTGTATAAAAATCTGATTCGAAATAATGCAATGATGACATTTGTAAATTATGAGATTAAGTAATAATGAAACTAAGTAATGGTTCTTTTATACAAAATTTCAACTTGTAATAATGATGTATAATCATTTTATTTCAAATTAAAAGATCTACTATTTTAACTTGTAATTTAAAAAATAATAATCATTATGAGTAAACCTTAATGAATTATATGATTTTGAATTGTATAAAATTCTATTTGTGTTGTATAAAAATATAAATAAATAACAAAACAAAACAAACAAACAAAAAACTTACTAGTGTTTGCAAAACAAGTGAACATTTTCTTTAATTCCATAAGTAAGTCTTGATAGTCATCGTATGCGGCCAGGTCTACCTTCCGCAGATACGGAGCTCCATCTACGGCCACCTTCACATACGTAGTAGTAGCACAACTCTCCAAAGCCTTCTTTCTAAACCCCCTCACCGGCGGCCACCCAATTGCTTGTACCCTACAAAACCCTCAAAAATACGTATAAATACTATGGAACCTAACAAAATTACTTGAAATTTTGCACACTATTTATATGGGTTTAGACCCTATATCCATGTGAGTACCGAATAAAAATTTGACTATAATTTTTTAAGAATACATTACATTTCTCACACGTATTATAAAAATTGTACCTTAAATTTATATTGGGTAATTACACTTAATACGTTTTACATTTTTTATGTAAATTCACTTAGCCTTCCACTTCTTATTTTGATAATTAATATTTATACTTTTAAATTAAATTACAATGTCACATTTTCATTTATCTACGTCAAAGAGGTTGACAGAAAATTGATTATGATCTACGCTTCACAGATTTACTTATTATTATTTTTACCCTCTTACTAAAATTCCATTTTAAATCCTTTCATTTTTATTATAAAAGAAAATTTTACTTTGATTCTTCATCTTTTAATTGCATTCTAAAGGAATGTCACATGTGGCATCCAACTCAATTTTCGTCAACTTCATTAATGTTAGATGAATGTAATAATGATATTGCAATTTGACTTTTTATTTGATCTTGCAACCTCAATAAAGAATGTTACATTGTTTTGGTTTTCTGGGATTTGAAATATTTTAATCTTGATCTAATCACGAATCACTTAGGATTTTCATATGAGAAATCAAAAAAAAAACTCTCATATTTTATAAATTTCATTTTTTATCAAAAGTTGGTTGATTTAGTGAAAACATTGATTGGTTGTATTATTTTATAATACCAAAATTGCCATTAAAATAAGAAGGTAGAAAAAAATTTCACTGGCATCCATATTATCACATATGTTACTTTACTTTTTTAATCATCCAAAGATAACTGTATAAAATTATAAATTTTTTTTTCTTTTATCATCTTACGATCCAAACAGGGCGCATGTAGGAAATTTAGTGCTATATTTAAAAGTGGAAGGTGGATATAAAATTTTGATAAAAATATACAAGGGTGCTAAATGAAATTAACCCAATTTATACTCTTATAAGAAGACATGATTAATTTAGTTAAAAAAAACACATAAACCTCACTTATTAGCTGCGGGTGATTTTCCGGTGCCGGATGACTGAGACTCAGATTCATCATCATCGTTGGCAAAAGCTTCTCCACGTGGCAAGTTGCCAGACCTCCCCAGGTTTAGATCAACGGTCTCAAAGTGTCCACGTTTCACATAACCGCTCCGACCGATGAATGTAGGAGGAGGGGGAGCGTCGCCGCCAGGCAACCTTAAGGTGAGCTCGGTGTCGTTGAAATCAACGGCGGTGATGTCAGATTCCATCAAGGACTCCATGAGGTCCGGTCGTGGTGGAATCACGGTCTATATGTGGAAGATTGTTTTAGCTTTAAAAGAGTGAATTGTTGTTTCTGTGTCTGTGTGTGTCTCTGTGTGTGTTGGGGGGGTATATGTAAATGTGTATATTGGTGAATGACACGTGGTTGGAGCCAACAAAAGCCGTTGGGATTCTTACAGTGACGGAAGCATCTTTGAACTTCGGGCCTTTGGTCGGTACAAAGCACCCGGCTCTCCTCTCTCAGGATTGTGTAAGGACTGTTTGTATCCACTTTTTAACTCTTTTTCTCCCCTATGTATATTTTTTTCAACGATGCTACATAATTTAAATTTGAGTTTTTTCAAATGGGACGAATTTTAGTTCGTCGGTCATTTGAGCAGTTGTTCGAGTGATTGATTGATAATAAGGTGACAACTGCGGTTGATAAAAGTGACGTACATTAAATAAGTGTTACACCGATCGTATAGACAATCGACCAGAATGTATAACTTTAGGCAATTCAAACAAACTTAAATTCGAGTTACCAATCATTAGCATTTTTTTTTTTTTTGGACTTTTAATGTTGAAAAAATTTGGGGTAAATTTCACTTTACCCTCTTACACTTTTGGTGCCGGATGACTGAGACTCAGATTCATCATCATCGTTGGCAAAAGCTTCTCCACGTGGCAAGTTGCCAGACCTCCCCAGGTTTAGATCAACGGTCTCAAAGTGTCCACGTTTCACATAACCGCTCCGACCGATGAATGTTGGAGGAGGGGGAGCGTCGCCGCCGGGCAACCTTAAGGTGAGCTCGGTGTCGTTGAAATCAACGGCGGTGATGTCAGATTCCGGCAAGGACTCCATGAGGTCCGGTCGTGCAGGAATCACGGTCTATATGTGGAAGATTGTTTTAGCTTTAAAAGAGTGAATTGTTGTTTCTCTGTGTCTGTCTGTGTGTCTCTATGTGTGTTGGGGGGGTATATGTAAATGTGTATATTGGTGAATGACACGTGGTTGGAGCCAACAAAAGCCGTTGGGATTCTTACAGTGACGGAAGCATCTTTGAACTTTGGGCCTTTGGTCGGTACAAAGCACCCGGCTCTCCTCTCTCTGGATTGTGTAAGGACTGTTTGTATCCACTTTTTAACTCTTTTTCTCCCCCTATGTATATTTTTTTCCACGATGCTACATAATTTAAATTTGAGTTTTTTCAAATGGTACGAATTTTAGTTCGTCGGTCATTTGAGCAATTGTTCGAGTGATTGATTGATAATAAGGTGACAGTTACAGTTGATAAAAGTGACATACAGTAAATAAGTGTTGTATCGATTGTATAGACAATCGACCAACATGTATAAATTTAGACAATTCAAACAAACTTAAATTCGAGTTACCAAACATTAGCATTTTTTTTTTTTTTTTGACTTTTAATGTTGAAAAATTTTGGAGTAAATTTCACTTTACCCTCTTGTACTTTTGCTTATAAGCAAATTTCTTTTATTTAGAAATAATCATATAATTCTCTTGTGATTTACAAATTGAAATGTGCACTGTTAAATATTTCGTTTAATTTAACAGTAAGTGTAAAATATATGTCAAACATAAAAATGTTATATGCTTATTTTAAAATTTTAAATGAATAAATCGAACATGGAATAAAGTAAAATGGGCTAAAGTGCATTTTGGCTCCTAAACAAATAACTAAAATATTCGTTGTTCACACACTTAAACTACTTATATACAAAAGTATTTTAATTTTTCTTCATTATAACATTAACAGGCCTAACCGTGTATTTCAATCCACAAAACACAAGAGGGCTATGTGATTATTTCTAAATAAGAGGGTGTAATCCACACATGGACCAAACCATAAGGGGATAAAATGAAATTTACTCAAAATTCTATAACACATACCAAAATATGAGTGTATTATGCCCTCATTTGGCAAGTGGGTTTTTTTGGCTTTTTGGCTAAATTAGTTACAAAAAGATAAAATAGGCTAAAAAACTAATAAGATAAAATGTCATATCTAAATCATAATTATTTTACTTTTTCTCTCACAAAAGTTAAAAAAGCCAACACAACCAAACTTTTTAGACCCAGGCTAAATTAATCAAAAATCAACCCACTTTCCAAACGAAACCATGTCTCAATGATGATTTTTATGTTGTTTGATTATATTCATTATAGTATTCATTATAACTTATTATTATTATTCTTATTTTAGTTATTTGACAAGTGAGATTTTTTATTATACCACAAGTAATGTTTGATTATGATTCATTATTATTTTAGTTATAACTGAAGAGATATTTGGTTATATATTAAGTGGTATTCATTGTAATCCCGTTAATTATGATAGAAAGTGGTTTAATTATGACATTTTGCAATATTAAAATCACACACACCCCTTTTAATCTTTATAGAATTTTATTAATGGCAAATCCTAACAAATGACCTATAGTTCTTGTTAATATTGGTATTAACATAATAACAAAAAATAATTATAAAAATAAAAAACAAAAATCTTTGAAAAGATGTAAAAAATGTAAAAGTTTTATAAATTTCATAAAAGTGTTTTGAAAATAATGAAAAATATTTCATAAATCTTCACTTTTTTTGTCTTTTACTTGTGCTTTGTGAACATTTGTTATCAAGAACTTTTTATATATATATAATTTCTAATTTTATCTTATGACAAATAAATAAAGTAAAAATTTACATTAAAAGTAGATGAAAAATAGAGGAACAAATATCAATTGAAACAGATGTCAATAAAGTATAAAACTTATCAAAAATCAATAATAATAATAATAACTCTTAGATTGTATTTGAATTAAAAAATTGAGAAAGAAAAAAAAATTATATTTTATATTTTATTCTTCCACTATTTTACTTTTCATAAATCTCTTTTTAAATTCTTGATTCAAGTACATACATGTTTTCCCAACACAAAATTTCATTTTTATCCTCATCCCTGATATCTCAAAACTCCAAACCTAACCTAGCTCTACCTCACTATAACATATTAAAGTTTTAATAGCCAAACTTTTTCATCCCTAGAAGTAAAAATTTTATTGCAAAATATATTAGAAAACCAATTTAAATCGTCACAAGAGTTGTCACTACAAGGCCATCTTAAATAGTCAAAAAAAAAAAAAATACCTTTAGCAACAATTTTGAAAATGCACTTCAAAGACAAAACTATTTTGTGCCACAAAGTTTTATATGTATATATATATATATATATGAAATTTGATTGCAAAAGAGTAGTAATTCATTACTAAATGTCAAATTTTGGTCACTAAAAATATATTTGTCCTTAACTTTTGCCACAGATATATTTGTCAAATTCATTACTAAAATTTTGGTCACTAAAAAAATTGGTCGCAGATAATTTTTGCCGACTAAAAATAGACTTTTAGCAACCAATATTTTGGTCGGCAAATGCGTTGTTTCTTGTAGTGATATAACAATGATACTTAGCCTCTGTTTGGCAAGATGGTTTTCAGGCTTTTTTGGCTATTTTAGCCACAAAAAACAAAATAGGCTATTTTAGTCATAACAAACAAAACATCATATCCAATCCATAATCATTACATTCTTCTCTCACAAAAAAAGCCAAAAAAGCCAAAAAGCCAAAAAATCCTTCCCAAACCAAGCTTTTTAGCCCAGGCTAAAATAGCCAAAAAAGCCAAAAAGCCAAAAAGCCAACCCACTTCCCAAACGGAGGCTTATAGTAATTAAAAAAATTTATCCCTAAATTTGTCCTTAAAATCTTAATTTCAAGTGAGTTAGGCGGTAGTGCTCTAAGCCTGCAACATGTTGTGAAGGGGTGGGTAGGAAAGAATAATATTAGGAATAATGAAAAAAATATCATGAAATGTATTATGAAGATTTTTCATCTTTTAATTAGTGCGTGGTGTTTTATTGAATGTATAATCTAAAGGTAAAACATTTTTCATGATTATCTTCATGATATTTTTTTTATAATCCCTAACATTACTCGGGTGGGAAATGGGTCTTCTGGGATTAACAAGTAGTAGAGGAGGGTGGGGGTTTGCCCAAAGAAGGTGGGTGATTTGTTGGAGAAAGGGTTGATGGGGTCCTGTGCACAGTAAGAGGAGTAATGTTGTAGATTCATAAATTTTATTAAAAATTTTATTAAATATCTCACACAGGTGTAGGATATGTAAGTTTCATATTCATGTGAGATATTTGGTAAAAATTTTAATAAAAATTTTAAAATTTCTAACATTTTTGCGATAAGAGAGATAATTTGGAAATTATGAGGGGATCAAAGTAAAAAAGGTGAGGGGCTATTTTGATTTGGGGAGTTAATAATATTGAAGAGGAAATTGATATCTTGACTTCCACTACATAGAAACCGAACTTTTTAGGATCCATTAGATAAAGATAATGTGAACATGAAAAAGTAAAGGGAATTATTTCTAGATCATTATTTTTTTTTTTTCAAAACGCTTTCATAATTTGGGAAGAGAAAACTAGATTTTTTGACTATGATCCACATTTTAGTTAATTATAATTAGTTTGACTTTAAGATCAAATTTTTGTTTTTTTGAATAGTATGTAATAAATTTGACAATTGTAAGATTGCAAGTATCACTTGATGATAAAGCTTGACAGTATTTGTATATCATTATTAGTCGTAAGAATTAGTTTTGCAATAACTATATTCGCATATGAAATTTGTGAAGAAAAATCACAAATACAAATCCAAACACATCATAAAACTTTTGATTTGAATTCTTATGAAAGCTGTTAAGTTATTAAAATTTGATATCTTTAAGCACTTTTTGAAGCATCATATTTTTGTGTATAAAAAAAGCCTATGAAGCACGAATACTTCAAATAGAATGACGTATCCGTATCGTATTCGTATTGGATACCGATACTCTTTGGATATTCGCGGATACGTATCGGATACTTCTTAATTATTTTTTCATTAATTTTGGAGTATCAGATACTTAATTTTAAAGTGTCGGATACTCCAAGTCATGTTTACTTGTTTTATAAAATTAAAATTGTAACATTTCTTGCATTGTAATATAATATAATATAATTGTAAATATAAATAAAAGAATATTTTTCTAATATTTTGTTAAGTTT